GTAAGTATGACGATTTCTCCGCAAGAGTGCATGGGACAGAGGTTGCTTTCCAGAATAAATGAGTGGAGAGGCATTTTCAAATCAGTGTGGACCCCACTCAATCACACTTTTCTCAGAGAAAGATCCATAATCGAAGCATGTATGGGAAAAGACAGAGTTGTATGGAAAAAGAACTAAAAGTTAAGGGAAAGAGAAAGTCGAGGCGAGGGGCTACCTGAATGAGCAGGTAAGAGAGCCAGGAGAGCCAAAGGGGGCAGCTCCTCGAGCTTCCAGCAGGAGCAAGGGCCTGGGTGGGCCTGGGGGTGCTGGGGGGAAGGGGTGAGCCTTACAGATTGCCCTTCATAGCTCTGAGTCATGAGGCTCTCCCATCAGACACCCAGCTTCCTGCGGATCAAGGCCGTACTTGCAGAACATGCTGTGCCTTTTGCAACACGGATCCTTCGATTTGCTTCCCACAACAAGTCATCCAGATCCCGTGGGCTCTCCCTCCGCCTCCCTGCGGCCTCTCTCTGCAGACCTCATTTCCCGTGAGTCTCCATGACGCTGCCAGCCAAGCATCCCAAACCCTCCTCTGCCTCCGGACAAAAGCGCACACAGATGTGGGAGAGCAGGCACTGGGAAGGCTCAGGGCACCGTCATCCTGTCCCAGCGGGGTGCTGGTCGTTTTTTTTTTTTTTCTCTCAGGGGACCAGAGGCAGAAAAAGGGGGGTTAAAAAAAAAAGAAAGAAAGACTGAAGGCAGAAAAAGAGGGAAGACAAAATAAACCATTGAAACCAAAAAGGAAATGCATGAGCGGGATTTCTATCAGGATACCCAGTGGGGGGCCATGGGGTGGGAGTGGGGAGCACAAAGACAAAAGAGGAAAATGTGCCCCACACAAAAGTCTCTTGGAGGGGTAAAATGAGGGAGGAGGGAGTTGGCAAGAAATTAGGAGTTGAAAAAGCAGGGGCTGCAAGGGGCTCTCAGCTGGAACCCCTCAGCATCCTCCTGGCTCCACCCTGGCCCTGTGGAATTGTTAGTGCTTTCCCCCTTTCCTCTTTTCAAGCCTCCAAATGCCCAAATTCCAGTTTTTCACAAAAGAAAGCAGCACGTCGTGTATTTCAGAGAAGTCCCAAAGAAGTTGCAAGAACACAATCCAAGCATCCTATGGCTTTTCAGATCACTCTCCACAGCGCGCACCCCTGCCCTCCCCCCACACCAGCACAGTCTTAAAAGAGCCCTTAGAAGAGAAAGAAACTGCTGGTCATCCCTGTGTCCCAGAGGATGATAACCCCGTGAGAGTCCTGACTGTGGCCCGCACAGTTACGGGGAATATCCAGGGGGACGAGGCCAAGCAGAACACAGGGGCTCAGAGCAGTAAGGCTGCAGCGACACAGGCGGCTCACAGCATCAGTCCCGCACCCTGAAAAGACTGATTTCTCAGAGCCCCTGTCTTTAAAGGCAGCGTTCCAGTCGGGTCTTTGAACCGGACGTGGTCTATGAAGCTGCGGGGAACACATGAAGTCGTGAGGTGAGGACGGTTTCCCCAGGAGGACCGGCCTGTCTCGGTGTGTGGAGTAATCCTCTTGCTGTCACAGTCACCTGGGAACGGGGCGCTAAGTTCCAATGGGGGTCACGGTCACTCTCACTATGACTTGAAGAAAGCAGATTATTTTAAGAGCAGAGAAGGCCCTCGAGACTAAGAGAAGCCTGTCCTTATCTCATTTCTTGCCCTTTCCCTAAAGGAAGAAGTGATCGCTGCTCCCCATTTTTGTGGCCAAGGAGAATATCATTGTGGGGGGGAAGCACCATGGGGTCCCATTCAGAGATAGGTGACCATGTTCTCCCTATTTGAAAAACTCTTCTCACTCTTACAGTAAAAGACAAGGTCACCCCTTGTGGTCTCTCTCATGTGAAGTTTTCCCCACGCTCAGGTCCAGCTCCTGTAATACAGGGTCATATCCCTAGTTGGCCCCACTTTGCTTTAGAATTTATCACTCTCTAAATTCTCCACGCACACATTATTTTTCCTTTATCGTGCACAAATTGATTTTTCGTTTATCAACCTGTCTGATGCCATCTTGATTACTTACGTGAACGGTGCTCCCCAGCAACCCAACCAATCTCCTTTCTAAAAAAACTAAAACTAAAAAAAAAATACAGCTATAAAGATCAGGGAGTGTCACTCAGTCATTGCTCACACACTGCTCACACACTTACTTTTTCCTGTATGCATCCAAAGTGATCACACCCCCTATCGCAGAAGCGATGCTGATTTCTGCACCCCATGCCCTCGTCTGGCAACTACCCCAGGCCCAGTCTCACTGAGGCCTCGCGGTAAAGGCTTTGTCAGACTAGAGGGATTCCAGGGTGATCATCGCTCTTAAATTAGGAGGGAGCGAGGATTCCCGGATGGTGTTGTCATGCAAGTAAGATGGTAGAGACTGCAGAGGGGCACGTGGGTACTGAACAGCCTACGGATGTGGGCGACACTCCGTGGGCACTGGGCAAGCTACAGAAAGGACGGACTTGGAGGGCGCGACAGAGCTAAAGGCAAAGAAGTGACAGGGTGTTCGTGAACTCTGCGCAGAAAGCCCAAGCTCTTCCCTGTCGAGGTGCAGATACCACGGGAGCCGTGTGAGTTTACTCACTTACTGTAGTGGCAGGTTCCACTTTGGTTTTGGAGAAGCCACTCTGAAGAAGGAAGAGCACCTGTGATTGTGTGTGGACATGTGTGTGTGCACGTGTGTGTAAGCAGCAAGCAGAAATTATGCCACCACGGGTTTTGCAAGCTTTGCCCAGAGAGGAACTCAACTGCAGAGAGGGAGCAGGAGATGGATAACCACTGTCGGACACAGCATCAGGAACGCCTCATCTACGGAGGCTCCTGGGAGGACCGAGTTCTTTATCCCAGTCTACGAGGAGGAAGAAACACCCTAGACCTATTTTAGCACTCTTTTCTTTTCCTAAATCACTGTTTCCCAAAGTCCAGGGCAAAGGTTCAAGAAAATCATACACAGCGAGAAGGCACAGAAGACAAAGCATGAGTTGCCTCTAATATGACTTGCCTTAGAATAAGGACCTTACAAGGTTCTCTACAAGAACTAAATGACAGGATATGTTTAGTAGAAGCATCTAGCATACAACATGTGCTTCAAAGCTGGGAGCCATGTCATCTATGGGTGGCCTTAAGACTTAGTTTGAAAATAGCCCCTCTGTTTTATTTTTAGTGTGTTGGTCCGTAACAGGTGGTCCCCATAGCACTTCACAAAGTACTTGTTTTCAATGATTTAATGATTAAATGAAGGGATGAACAGGATGAGACATGCTTGTTAAAGTGAATAAAAAGGGGAGAAAAAGCAATGGAAATATTTACTCTTAGGTTTACTGTGGAAAGTATGCAAATCACACCACCCAGAAATTCTCAGAACTGGTCTCCTCAAGATTCCAGCTCTGGCTACAGAGGATTTCGAGTCAAGAGCAGTGAAATACTGTGAGGCTGAGAAGAAACACCTGTTCTTGCCCATGTCTTCTGCCCGTTCTCTCATGGGAGAAGAGACGGTCATATGCTATGTTTCTTCTCTCTTCTAACTGGAGAAGCAATCACTGTTCTTCCTTTTATAACCTCGAAGGCTGCAGTCTGAAGGGGTCTCATCCAATTGCAGGTTCATCAGTAACCTTGGCTTCTCAATGAATTCATTTTTGCCCTCAAAGTAAAGATGAGGTAACCCCTTCTCATCTATGATGCAACAGACTACTGTTCCCCCACCACCACTAATTTGACTACTGGTCCCTAAATGCAATTCACCCCATTATTCTTTAGAATGCCCAACCATAGAATTCTCCAGCTACATCATGATATTATTGATCTATTCCCTTGCTAGCACATCTGATGCTGTTTTGATTACTTATCCAGCTCCAGAAGAGCCCAGAGGGGATGAGATGAGTTCCATTGTCCTGACAACTTACACCCTAAATTGAGGTTCAAATAGGGTCACCCTAGGGCTTACCACATGTAACAGAGTAGGACAGCCCACTACTCCCACAAAAACAGCCAAGCCAGCCTCTTTATTCCTAGAAGCACTGCAGACATGAGAAGCTGGGAACCATGGTCGAGATTTGGTCTTCATCACACGCGTCAGCATCTAAAGGGCTATTAGAGGAAGATGCTACAAGCCACGCACTTCCATTCAGCATAAGAGCTGACACGAAACAGAAATCCAGGTTGCCAAGCAGCCTGGAGGTGAGTGGCCTTGCACTTATTTGAGAGGGAAGAATAAGGCTACAGGCAGGGACACCTGGGAGTACCAGCCATTTTCAAAGAGAATTGAGTGTGCCT